GTAACAACTATTATTTAACAACAATAGCTTGGGGACAATTTATTGGGCAATAGGGGAAGAGTAAATAGTATTGAAATGAAAAGTAAAAAAAAATAGGTATATCTTGTTCAACTGGATTATTTATCCAACAACAATAAAACTAAATAAGGTAAAATCTGAGCAATCATATAAATGAAATTCTTTGTATGAGGGACATTTTAGTGACTATGCCGGAAAATGAAAAATGAATTTGGATAAAACGCTGTCTCAGAGCATAATTTAAGCTCTGACAATTACACAAATTAAAAAGAGTCCTAAATATATATATGGAACTATTCCCAAACTATGAACATGTACTGATTGTGCAGTGAATTAAGGAATTATGCAGCTTTTGCAATATATGATTATCTATTGATCGTAATTAATGAGAAATTAACTATGGAATGAAATATATATGTAGAGCACAATCAAGTGAATTAGATGTAAACTATTAATCAACAGTTCTATATTTGAGTAATGAATAATATAAATATGGAAGAAATAAACTAAACATGCCAGTGCAAGTGTTAAGATTTATTAAGGTAATGGATTACTGAAGAGTGAGATCACAAGAGGAATGCAGTTTATGGGCATTTTCAAAACTCTATACTAGAAAGGCCATAATAGATACTTTACTTCAATCTTTATATCTTTCAATCTTTCTTAGAAAGAGGAAGGTATTGTTGTGGGGTAATGACTATGTTGAATGGTTTTCACAGGTATATATTTAATCCTTATATTTTTAGATTGTTTTTTTATTTGTTAAAATTAAAGCTGGCATTGACATTTTAATGGATTAAAAACATATTGAGTTTTTACTTCAATCTATTAATTCAAATGGTGGAATTTTAAAAAACTTTATTTATTACAAAACTCAAAAATCCACAATACAATGTAAAAATATTATTATTAAGTACTGCTAATCGGAAACTATTTTGTAGACTAGCCAAAATCCATGTAAATAGGAAGTTGCGTATCTTGAGAACAAATCAATCATGATCTCACTAGCTAATATAGTAAAGAAAACAAAGGATAATAGTAGAGTATTAGGAGAATGTTATTTATTCAATATGGATAATGGATGTACAGGCAGTTATGGTTATCCAAACGTTATGCTTTTTACAATGTCTTATACCAGCAAACTTTTTGGATGAATATGGAAAATCGACACAGAAATATACCTATCTTAACTAGTTAATGGACTACCTAAGCTCTGACGTTACACTGGGCGGGAATTTTAAAAACTTTCCAAAAATTTCTAATTTTTGTGTATTTGTCCAATAAGAAGTTGTTGAAGTTGAACAACAAATAATACCAATCGCACAGAAGGAATGTTCATAACCAAAAGTCCTTATTTATTCTTTAACCAATTAAAAAACCAACATTTCCAACTTCTTTTTAAAACCCCCGCCCATTGTAATGTCAGACTTGGGTAGTCCATTGAGTTTTACATTGGTACATAGTCCAAAAGTTTAAAAAACCATAACCAAATCATGAAAGTCCCTTTTAGGTCCCTAGATAGGTTTCAGTGCATGCTTTGATAGATATTTTAGAATGTAAATACATACTATAAAACAAATTAAACAACAAGAAAGTTATGTCTCATTTCCCAGAACAAAACATTCCAATTTCACTGTTCATTGAACAGGTATTATACACACATATAATTCCAATAATTTTGTTAAAATTATGATGGGATCCAACACAAAATTTACTGAGGTAAAAAAATTTTTATAAAGAAGATGAAATATTATTTTATCAAAAAAAAATTTATGAAGGAAGGTAGGTCAAAGGTAAATGTAATTAAAATATTTTCCATTTTTTATTTTGTTTTTAGAATAAATGAGAAATTTATGTTAACTGTGTTTTTAGAATACTATTTAGATTTTAATAATGTCTACTGGTTGTAGCTGATCTAAACTTGCAAGGAGAAGGAGCTTTTAACTGAGTATTGGCAAAAATCTAATGGATGTCAAAATCCACATACTTCAAACATATTATCTTGCAGATGTTAAGTGAAAAATTATAGGAAAAATGTTAACGATAGATGAAAAAATATTAACTGCTAAACACAAAAGAACACCATGGATAACTGAATATATGCTTCAATTAAAGGAAGATTGACGAATGCATAAAGACAAAGACCGTAAACAAGATAGGGAATACAGAAATGAATTGACAAAGAAATAAAAAAGCAAAAAGGGTGACTAATAGGGTAATGTAAAGAAATTGAACAACACTAAAGAAAGAATGATAGCTTCAACAAACAAAAAAGATAAAATAACACATACTGACAAAAGCAAGAACATAGATATAGGTAATGGATTTTGACAATAGCTATGACCTTGTAAATAACAGGTAAACTTGTGTACTGCATTCGCATAACTCATAGCTCTTGTCAAAATCCATTACCTCTATACCCAATGACTCCAATTAAAAACATGGATATGTACAAGAACCTCAAGACATGAATATAACATAGTATTGTAGCAAGGAATTTTTTCAAACAAGACAGGGTTCAATTATTGAAATTTATAAATACTTCGAGGAGAACTGACACACTCTAAAAATACAGGAAAAAATTGAAGGCAACAGGACCAGAGGAAATTTCAGTTGAAACTGCCTAAAGGAAGAATCCATGGATACGCTTTTAGACTTATTCATTGCTGTGTATATAGAAATACCAAATCAATGGCTGCTTCTCTTTCCCTGAAATGGTTTTTGCACACTTCCTAAAACATTGAATCTAGAAACTGTAAGGACTCTAGAACCATTTCAATAAAAGTCACAATCTTAAAGTGTTCCTTAAAATAAGTCATGAAAGAATCAATAAAAAATTGTAGTACAGCAGTAGTCAATTTAGCTTTAGAAGAGGACTGTGGATAAATATGCCTTGTTTTTGTTAATATAGATGCCTAGGTATAAATCAAGGTAGCCATTCAATCAATCAATCTACAAGGTCCAACAAGAGACACTACAGACACTACAGTCCCAGGATATTCATTTTTACAAAATTAGTAACAAGCTGCATATACGAAGAGCAATGAGACAGGTATGTATTCTGACACAATTGCTTTTTAACATATACCTAAGCAATCTTTGAGAAAGATAAGATCGGAGAATACTATGGTCATCCTCCTAACTTCAAGTAGAAAAACTCCAAACATTATAATATTCAATGGTAGTAATAATTTCTGTGAAAATTATAGACTTAAAAAATATACAATAAAAAGACCCAGAATGTATTTAGAATATAGTACTTAATTACAAAAAAAAAACTAGCAAAAGTAATTGAACATTACATTAAATTATTATAAGATTTATACAAAAGGATTTTAATAACTGGGGTGAAAACAAGTGGATCAACAACTTAGATGCCTAGGTATTTTCAATATTCCTTTATGGATTGGAAAATTAATTAAAAAAACACTTCAAAATTAACAAAAACAGGAGTAATCATTTGAAATGTGATAGATCCATGTTGAGGATATCATGGACAAAAAAAAACCAATAATTTATAATAATACAAAGAATAATATATAGAAGAAATATTGCAAATTCACTGGCTGAGAAATTTGGGGAGTGGTTTCAATGTAGCTCAAATATATGTCAGTAAATAAAGTAAAAATAGTCAGTATATATATGCCACAATAATAAATACTATTGACCAAATAGTAAACATGTACTTATTTAATAAAAACAACATTAGAAATTCTAAAATTTCCTACTTGGCGAAACTAAAGAGAGCCTCTAGAGAAAAACTAGAGCCTATGCATATAGGGCTGTGATGATACCTAATAAGGTTGAAATAGGTATAAGGGGACGGCAGATGCCATGCAATAAAACTAAATCTAAAACCGCCTTTCTGTCCAATTTAATAAAAATATAACATACAAAAGTTTTAATTTATGTCTATTAACTCCAGGAAATTTTTTGTTTTATGAATACTTACTGATACGACATTTTGCAAGTAGTCACTCAAATATTTAACATGAGGTTGAGAAAATTAATTTTCTTGTTACCTATTTTATAATTATACGTTTTGCTTAAAATGAAAATATCAAAGTAAATAACTCGGACGTGGCTAAAATACTCATCGAAAACAAGTTTCATAATCTTTTCTAATTGATTATAATTTTTTTGGATGTAGGTATACAGCAGGATATTCTTTAATACCATCGAGTTACATTCTAACTCGATGTTTAATACCTACCTATTTTTTTACTGGATTTTAATTTACCTAATTATCAAAAACGGCATGTTATAGAAATTCTAGAAGAAATAATCATTTTTTATATTATATCAGCCTTATGTGGATTGTCAATAAGAAAAATTGTATAGGATAGGGATTTTTAAAACTTCAATCCTAAAATGAACTTATTCAGTTTTGTTTTTTCTTTTCAAGGTAGTTTCTAAACGTATTTAGATATAGCACTTAAGTTATGCACACATAGTTGTAAAAAATGTAAAATTAGCTTGAGAGATATTTATGTATCATCACAATATTATATTTATTTTATGGGCACCTCAACCCTCCAGCAAACCTCGTACACGCCTGTGGTGGGCAACCACTTTATTAAGAGAAAACGTCAGAATTTGTCTAGAAATTTCTTATTGCTTGGTACAAATGTAAACAAGTAATGAAATGAATTCACAATCACTATGGGTAGGTGTTGTGTTTTAAAGTAGGTAGCACAAAGAGTTTACACCTAGTTGAGCTAGAAGTAGAGTGAAGGTTTTGTGGTAGGTCGTTAATGATTTAATGACTATTATTGGACATCGGGCTCCAAAAAAGCACACCCATCTTCTAATTTAATATCAAGAGTGCCAAGGATAATCACGATCCCCGACCTCTAGGCACGGTTCAACCTCCAATCTAACAGGGACAAAGCAACTCCCACAGAGCCGTTGGTTTGCGACCGCCCCTGTGACTTTCAGCTAAGTTTCTAAGTGGGTACATGGAAAATAGTGCAAAAACTTACCTGTGCCGAATTTTCAACGTATTCTACACGCACTTCTTGCACTTCAGATGTCATTATTCACCACTAATTTGAAAAATATCAGTTGCATTGTTCAACCGATGTGTTGCAGTGTGAAACGGGCCGACAGGCTACGTCAATCGATCCTCTTTTGTCACTTTTCACTAATTTTCGGCTTAATTTTTATTAATTTCTTGTTGATAACTTTATTAATTAAATGTTTAACAGATTGGGCGTGAAAATTTTCGTGTAGGACTCCCAACGCTGGGCTAAATTTCGAATTACAGGCTGGGCAAACGAAACACAAACCACGCCATTCTGGGACTGGCTTTAGGAGGGGATAGTAGGATAGTATCGCGGCCGCTTGCTCGGAACAAACTAACTGCCGTCTTCGTTGCCATGGGCGGTGCGCTATTTGGGGATTTTTTAAATAATCAAACCAATTTTAAACTATCATTTTGTAGCAGATATAAAATGTTTGAAAATACGTTACTTAAAACGAATATTTAAAAATAAAAGAACACCAAAAATTCAAATACTTTTAATTTTTATTGAAATCTTCAAAAGATCCAAAGACCATGATTTATTTTTAAGATTATTCAATATTTAAAGTAATTTTGACTTATTTAATACCAAAAACTATATAACAACAGTAAAATCAAGTGATCACCATTTGTCAATGCTATCATTCATATAGCTTTATACATATACAATGAGGTGAGAAAGAATAAAAAGAAACACCTAGGAGGGCGAAGTTAAAAAGAAAATAAGAGAGACGAATAATACTAATTCAATATTTGGACGATAAAACGATACTATACCATTCAGTGTAAGAATTACCAAAACACTGACTTAACAACTTGTAAGTAAATATATTTCGCGTTGTATTGGAGTTTAAAAATAAGTAGGAGAGTAGAAGGGACACATGAAACCTCATGCTTAAAGCAGAACCTGGGAAACACACAAAATAATAGCACAAAGAAAAAAGAATTAGTGGAGACCAACAATATAAAAGAAATTTTACAGATAACGCACGAATATTATACAAATTTCTATAAAACAGAACAAAAACCAACCCAACAAATTCGTAATCAGTTACAACTGAAAATAAAGAACATTAACTCTGACCTACAACCAGAAATAAGTAAAAATGAAATTAAAAATGCACTCAAAGAAATGAAGAATAACAAATCTCCTGGGAAAGATGGAATAACTGTGGAAATGCTAAAAAATGGAAGGAAAACTACAGTGGAAGCCCTGTATGTACTAACGAGTAAAATATTGCACACAAAATAAATACCCACCACATGGAACGAGGCAATAACACTGTTACTATTTAAGAAAGGCGATAGAAAAGATCTGAAAAACTATACGCCCATAACGCTACTTAATGTAATGTACAAACTGTTAACTAAACTACTAACAAATAGATTAACAACTAAGCTAGATAATTGCCAGTCAAGAGAGCAAGCCGGTTTTAGAAAAGGATTCAGTACAAGCGACCATCTGCTTACAATAAAAATATTAATTGAAAAGGCCAACGAATATCAAATCCCAATGTATATGGCATTTGTAGACTTTGAAAAAGCATTCGATAAGGTGGAACAATGGGCAATAAAGAACTCTTTACAAAATGGGAGAATAGATTATAGATATACGGCTTAATTTCCAATATATATGTTCAAGCAACAGCATCCATTAAAATAGTTGACAAACGGAGCCTACTAAGATACGGCAAGGAGTCAGACAGGGTGACACTATATCACCCAAACCACAGAATAATAAACAATCAGAATGCCCACTCTCCATGGAAAATTAAGTACGCGCATCTCGTTCGCGCAGACGTTCTGCCATGTTTTAAAGGGAACCAGTGTTGTTTAATGAAAACTTATGTGGTGTGCATAGAAAAATTAACCCGGTTTAATTAACTTATGGCAATCATGGACATACTATGCAATTATTTTAACATTGTTACATATAATAACATAAATATAATATAATTAAACATAAATATAAACAATTACATAACCTCACAAATCATATGCCTGTGTTATGTGTTTCCTTCTAAAACATGGCGCGCGAGCTGAAAAACTTCAAAGGCGTCATCTGAGAGTGGGCATTCTGATTGTTTATTATTCTGTGCCCAAACTATTCAATCATGCTTTGGAAGACGTTATGAGGAAATTATAATGGGAAAAACGGGTATTAACATAACAACGGGTATTAACAGATAAAAGAGAAGAATTACAAAATGTGATGGATGAATTAAATAGCGAATCAACAAAAATAGATCTACAAATGAATTATAATAAAACGAAAATTATGACCAACCAACCAGAAGAATTAATAATTACAATTGCACGAACAACTATAGAACAAGTAAAAGAATATGTATATTTGGGACAACTAGTTAAATTAAATAAATAAAATCAGACCAGAGAAATAAAGAGAAGGATACGGTTGGCTTGGGTATCCTTCGGAAAACTTTCCTATTTACTAAAAAATAGAAAATACCCAAAATATGTAACAACAAGAGTCTTCAACCAATGTATACTTTCTGTTCTCACATACGGTTCTCAAACTTGGATGTTTATAAAGGAAAACATGGAAAAAATAGCAAAGACCCTAAGAGCCATGGAAAGACAAATGCTGAACATCAGGCTATCAGACAAGAAAAGAAATGATTGGATCCGCAACAAAACAAAAGTGACTGATGTATCAACACAGATAGCAAAACTTAAGTGGAAGTTCGCTGGACATACCATAAGACAGAAAGACGACAGATGTAATAAGATAATTATACACTGGAGACCATATAGGTACAAACGAAAAAGAGGAAGGCCACAAATGAGATGGTCAGATGACTTGAAGAAACACGCAGGCTCGAAGTGAATACAAACTGCTTACAATACAATAGAGAGACGTGGAAGAAGGAAGAGGAGGCCTATGTCCACAATTGGACAGCAAGGGCTGTATAGATAGAGCGGAGATGTTAAAAATACTAGTACGTAATTTACCGAAATTTAAACAGAAATGCGTAAATTCAAGATGGTATGAGAAGGACAACATATTTTTGGCTAGAGCACGTATTTTTAAGGTAGCGTCTTAAGAGCGTAGGCGCAAAATTTCGGGTCAATGCTTTTTAAATGCATTCATTTTTTTCGAATCCTGAGAAAACTAATAAATATTTTTAAAAAATTTAAACGGGAATAAATATTACCGAGAATACATTATTACATAGGGCCGAAAGTCCCTGAAAACTTCTATCTATAATGTTTATTTTAATAAGTTATATATATATATATATATATATATATATATATATATATATATATATATATATATATATATATATATATATATATATATATACATCGGTTTAGAACTTCTTTCGACGTTGTCCGATACCTAAACACCATTTCTTACTATCTTCGCGTCGTTTGTTGTTAAATTTCTTTCGCTTATGGACTTGTTTACGCCGTGTTGCCATTCTAATCTGGGTCTTCCTCTTTTCCGTCGACCTATCGGTTGCCATTCTAATACTTTTTTGGGGAGTTTTGTTGCTGGCATCCGTTGAACATGCCCATACCACCTTAATTGTTTCTTCTCTATATCTTGAGTTATATTTCCTTCTATTCCCATACGTGGTTTTATTACATCATTTCTGATTCGGTCTCGTCTGGAAATACCTAAAGATCTTCTCATTGCATCCATCTCTACTGCTTCTATTCGCTTTTTGTTTTTTTCACTAATTCTCTATGTTTCAGCGCCATAAAGAAGAGTAGTTTTAATCATGGTTTTATATATATTAAATTTTCTTCCTTTAGTTATCTCTTTACTCCACAGTATACCATTGAGACATCCTAAGATTTCTTTGCTTGTGTGATTCGTTTTTCTATTTCCCGTGTATCAGTTCCTGTATTGTCAAAGGCAACACCCAAGTAGTCATAGCTCTGACAGCAGAAAATATGTTGTCTGTTTTCGAGGTCTATGTTATCTGACTCGTTTCTAACACAAAGATATTTGGTTTTTGTTGTATTCGTTCCCCAGTCGTTATATTCTTCTATCAGTTTTCTAAGCATGTACTGCATGTCTTCTCTGTTAGTCGCTAGTACTACCTGGTCATCAGCAAACTGGAGTGTATATATACATTCATTGCTAAGCTCTACACCCATTCTATGCACCTTACTTTTTCATCTTTCCATTGGAAAGATTTTAATAGGTTACAGGGGTAAAAAAAGAGAAAATTTAGTGTAATTTTTAATTTCAAATATCTTATTCAAAAAAACATTTTGTTTATTCTAAGGGACTTTCAGCCCTCGGTAATAATGTAATCTGTCATTCTGCGTTTAAATTTTTCAAAAATATTTGTTAGTTTTTTCAGGATTCGAAAAAAATGAATGCATTTTAAAAAGCATTGACCCGAAATTTTGCGCCTACGCTCTTAAGGAAATTGAAACTCTGTAGTTGATTGAAGGAGATGACTTACTCGTTTCAGCAAAGGCTAAAATTATAGGCCTAAATAGGTTGGTATAAAATGTATACCAACATAACAATTCTAACGTTAGACATTTTTCCATTCTCATTAACATATCTCCAATTTCACTGATGATAATTATGTGTCCACAAATTGTGTGAACTGTAAATTCTACCACATCAGTACCACCCTTCATCGGTACATTTTACCCTTCATTGTAAGTTGCCTTATTATTCTAAGTATGCCCCCGAATCTACAGCTTTTCTTTCTTGATAGTAAACATAATTTCCATTTCTTTTTGTATTCCTTGTATCACCCATTATTTTGTTGTTTAGTTAACCAACTAGATATCATTCGTTTACACAAATAATTAAAAGATTCCATTTAGTACAGGATATGACGGTAAAAATAGTATGCCCCCGAATCTACAGAATTATTCTAAGTATGCCCCGGAATCTACAGCTTTTCTTTCTTGATAGTAAACATAATTTCCATTTCTTTTTGTATTCCTTGTATCACCCATTATTTTGTTGTTTAGTTAACCAACTAGATATCATTCGTTTACACAAATAATTAAAAGATTCCATTTAGTACAGGATATGACGGTAAAAATAGTAGAAAACCATTTTTTTATAAACTTTTTCCAACCTTGAGTGAGGAAGTAACCACCCTCAGAAAAAAAACCCATATTGGCATAGGAAAGATTTTAATATTTGAGCTATTTTCTATATTATGGACTAATTCTTGTTGTTTCTTTATTAAAGATGCAATCTTCTCGTTCATAGAGGAGAACCTGGAATACATAACATTCCACCATTCTAATATTCAGGACAACAAATAATTCTTTGGTA